TATGCAGCACAGCTGCAATGAGATGATTAATCACAGTGAAAACATCTATATTCATGGACAGATTACATATGTAAGACAATTCCTTTAAACACTAATTCTGACCATGATTTTCTCCATCTTATTATAAACTTTTCTATTTTCCTTGACTTTACCTGTTGACAAATGTAATGATTTTTGATCTTGCTCTCACACCATAGATCATATCAAAGGTAGAGAACCTGAAAAATATGGTCATGAAATGTTAGGTCATGAAAAAGACCCCAATAATAGGCAGGCAAAATAAGTACTATATTTTTTAAGGCAAAGCAATAACATTCAAATTTTTGCTGAGTAGCTTATCATTCACACCATATGTGACTCCTCTCAAATTTGGAGTGGAAGCCACTGCAAATGGCAGTTTGCATAAACACTGTTGCTTTGATTTCCCTTTGGGCACCTGGGAATTTGTCTATCTTTTCCCCTTTGCCTGGTGATATTTTAAAATGTAACTGTCGTGTTACCTTGTGGAGCACTTGTTTGCATTTTGAATATGAAATGTGCAGTTCAGCACAGTTCGGTGTGCTCAGAATGATCTCTCCAAAGTGTAGCTCACTTGCACATTTGATAACTACTGTGAATACAAGCTTACTATCAGAAAGGGCAATCTGTGTACTTTTGTGGGTGATGTAACTTCGGAGTACAAAGTTTCCCCTGAAGAGAAAATTGAAGGTCGGTAAAAGAAATTTTTTTTGTGCAGACAACACATATGTACAGTCTCTGAGGCAGGATAGAATTTAGCACTTCACAGGGCCAAAGGGATGGCAGTGTGATTGGATCAAGAGTAAAGGACAAGATGTGGAGAAGTAGACAGTTGTTGCATCATGAGAAACTTTTATATTATGCCAAGATATTTTTTACATTGTGTTTTTCTGCATCTGGTTGTGATAAAATAACCAGTTGTGTGCAGATTTTTATCTAAAGGTGAGGTATTAAGTTCTTATAACTTTCGCTTTCTCTCTGTCTTTCTGTTGCTCTGTCTTTGTCTCTCTCTGTCTCTCTGTCTCTCTCCCTGCTCTCTCTCTCACATACACAAACACACCCACATACATACATACAGAGAGAGAGAGAGAGAGAGAGAGAGAGAGAGACAGAGAGACAGAGAGAGAAAGAGACAGAGAGAGACAGAGAGAGAAAGAGACAGAGAGGGAGAGAGAGACAGAGAGAGAAACAGAGAGGGAGAGAGAAAGAGAGAGAGAGACAGACAGACAGACAGAGACAGAGACAGAGACAGAGAGACAGAGAGAGACAGAGAGAGGGAGGGAAGGAGATATGGAGGAAGGGAGGGAGGGAGGGAGAGAGAGAGAGAGAGAGAGAGAGAGAGAGAGAGAGAGAGAGAGAGAGAATTCAAACTAGAGTTTTCTCAAAACAACATAGACACTGTACAACTAAAGGAAACTCATGATTAATGAATTGTGTAATCACTAGATTTCTGTAGATAATTCTTGAACAGTTTATGTTATCCTCTAGTATACCAGTTCATTAATCTATTTTTATGTTTCTATGTGTGTCTTAGTATTCTTCCAGCTCAGTGTAAAGTCAACATAGACAATCCAAGCTTTAATGAAATTAGATTTGGATAACAGTAGCTTTCCCAAATTGAGTTTTTATTTTATTATTTTTAAAGTTTGATTCTCAACAAATCTGGCTTGGAACTCTGGTTTGTTGTGTTTGTTTATTGCATTGGACAATTAGAGGTCAGATGACTATGACCTGTCTGTTTCTTGGAGACTTGAAAGTCACTAAGATGACTTTTCAGATTTCACTGGAGATGTCACAGAGGTGCATGTTGGGTACAGACAGCCCCTGAAGTGAAAGACATCAGGTGTTCTGGACGCTTGAAGAATGACACACCTTTGGTACCATTGCATATGTTGGCAAGGGAATTAGTGTGTTTTGGAATGATTTGAAAAGTTCTTTTATTTGCAAAGTATGTTTTTCATTGTCAAAATGGTATTACTAGTTACAGAAAACTGAGGGTAAAATTACAAAAATGCTCATATTTTCTGTGGCAAGGCAATATTCTCTAAGGCTCCTGTACTTTGTGTCAAGTAATACATTTTCTTCTAAACTTGTCTATCCTACTGAAAATATATTTATATTAACAGGATTGATAAAAATAAATTCTTATCTCACAAAGAATCCCAGTAGCAAAATTCTCAAGTCAGTTCACTTCAGTCGATTAAAGTTCAAAGTTTTAAGTACCAGTTCATACCCTCAAATCCTCTAGGTTTTGAGAATACTGTTGGTGCTACATTTATTATTTCAGCTGTTATTTTTGTGGAAATTTATTTACTTAAGTTATGGTTTGAGAAAGGTCCATAAGTCTCAATTCAGTCTTACATAAATATAATTAAAATGTAAAACATAAAGACTCTATCAGCCATTCCAGAATCAAGGAATATGTAGCTACCATCACACAATCCTACAATCAGTTGCAGAGGTGGTCTGAATGAATGATGTATAGTGGAGAGTGTAGTCTTTGCTTTTGTTTGTGGTAGTTTTGATGATTAATGAACGACAGAACCCAGAAATCAGAAGCTGGACAACAGTGTGTCTCTGTCCCTAGTACAGAAGCTGTGTTGTTCTGTGGACCTTGGCCACTTTTGATCAGAGCAGAGCAGCACTGGGGATCTACTCTTGCCAGCTAGAGAAAGCTAGGACTACCTGTGAGAATGGTTTATGCTTTTGTCATCGTAGGAACATTTTTGTCATAGATACATGGATGCTTTAGGTACAATAATAGTCTCCTTTTGAAAACCATTGATATGTACAATATTGATTATACTATTAACAGTTATTAAATATAAGCCATGTGATGATCAGCATCCTAAGCATAGAAAATAGCAGTACAAGAAGTTCTCCTGGGGATAAAGGCAGCTTGGCATTCTTGCTGCTAACAAATCCTGCCTGCTTTGCATTCACTATGCACTCATAGTAGGTCCACTTCCTCTTGTACATGTAAAATATTTCAGGACGCTCTCATTTAAAGTCATTATTTGGAATCAGTTACTAAGAAGTGCACAGCTAAGAAGAACCTCCTGAGCCAATGGCAACATCTAATTGTCACAACTTCAGCCTCTGTTACTTTCCTCGGAGTATGGATGTTCAAGGCAATTGAGAGATGTTTTCTAGCATTCTTTCTTTCCAAATGCTGAAGTATAAAATGTGGCTCATTTTGTCTTTTGTGTGTATTTCTATATCTGTCCCATCTTAGATATTTGACTGTTGTAGAGATCGTCAGTTTTCATGTGTGTGTATGACATACGTATATATACATATACATATACATATACATATGTTATGAAATGCATGACATAAGCACTAGCAACCTATGTTGGGAATGTACAAAGCATTGCCTTGTTTCTTACTACTGTATTCAGACAAAGATGCCAAAGCATAATATTTTCTTAATTCTTTTACAAAAAATCAGATTACTTACAGAAAAGCAATTTAAATTCTGAATTATATAATTTTGTACTACACTTTTACTTTTATTGATAATTATAATTTGCAAATACAATTTAAAGTGAGGAGAAAATTGAACTATATATAAGTATGAATAGCTTGCTTTGAGAGTTGAGTACTGCCCCCTATCATGCTATCACCTCATTCCTGTCAATATATTCCAATTTGAACAAGTCAGAAGTAGGCATAACTGTATCTACACTGTGTGTCTGAGGAAGATGAGGAGGAGTAAGTAGCTTTGGAATTAGGGTTAAGTATAAGATATGTCCCGACAGCCATGCAGTGCACCTTCATGGAAGCGTAGCTGATGTGTTCATAGCTCTCACATCCCTTGGGACCTGGTAAGGAGTGTGTATGTTTTACTAATCAGCAATCCACACATGTTAAAATATTTTTTTTGCCAGTTTAGAAAGTATAGTTCTTCATGCAGCCTCTGTTTGAAACATTTCCCTCTACCCTTCCAAGTTCTACAGGTGGGGTAGGTGAACTAGTCTAAAGGAAGATGGTTTTATTACAGATATTACAAGATATTAACAGGTACCTATTTCATGTCCAGGAAGCACCCAGAGAGGAGTGACTAAAAGGGCAATAAGAATTGAAATTCTTGAGCATCTTAATTAAAGAAGGGTAAATTGTACAGAATTACTAAGAGGAAGAAAATGGCGGTGGTTTTAGAAAAGCAGGTTATGGTATGAAGATAAAGGAGAAAATAAATGAAGACAAGGCTGAGTTAGCACAGCCTGTTAGAATCCACTGCTCTACCTCACAACTGAGGCATCAGGAATTGTCCTCTGGAGTCAGCATCTGTCACTGGTAGAGAAAGTAAGAGGGAGCTTTGGAAACTTGCATCTGATTTTAGACACATGTGTTGTGTGGCGGAGAGTACAGTGCATGGAGCAGGGGACTTTTCTTGACCATTCATTTCGTCAGTTCCCTTCAGGTGAAGATTGGGCCTCACCCTAAACAGGTAGTTTTCAGGCATGACCCTGTTTTCTTCCTTCCCATGCCACTGTGGAATTATGTGATTTCTGCGTATGCCACTGTTCTAATATAAAATCCTTTGTATGTTCTTTTTCTGACTAAGACTGTTATTGGTTGCTTTAGTAATTTAAACCAATAGCTATTAAACTAATTTCTTATAGTTCTGTCTCTGAATATTTTCATTCAAGTTAATGTAAACATCAACAGAAACTTTAGATATGACATTTGTCTTTCAGTGTTATTTGTTGTCTCAACTTTTGTTAATGGTTTAAATAAGTGCCGTGTATAAATGAAATTATGATTGGGGAAATATATTATAAAATTGTAATTGTCATTGAATTTTACCACAAATTATGTAATTAATAATCTCTGCTGAAGGTCTAAGAATTTTAAAGACTAATTTGAGAAAATGACAAGGTTCATAGTCTTTAGTGTCATATTAATATTGACACCAGATGAGATGGCGTTTTATGCACACCAAATTGTAATATATTTTTTTAATCTTGTTTTTTAAGGAGCCTTTCCCTGAAAATAACAAAAGACACTGATCAAGAGGCCCTGTGTTCCCATGTGAGCCACATGCCCAACAGTCCCTCTGCAGACTCGCCCCTGCGAGGTGTGGAGGAAAATGGAAGCATAGATTCCCTGCCATTCAGACTGATGCTCCAGGAGTGCACGGCAGTGAAGACGCTGCTACTGAAGATGAAGAGAGTGCTGCAAGAGGTAGGGCTGTTCTGCAGTTAACCCTCATCCTTGCTATTCTGCAACAGGTCTGTAGACCTGCTCATACCCCGCTCAGTCGCTAATGGGTGCATTGAGGACAGATCAGGTGTCCTCCTGGGCCTTAGCTCTCCTCATATTCCAAAAAAGCTTCCAGTTCTGCTGGATAAACAGGTACTTAGAAATTCACCCATAGGTCCCCAGGTTCTATGAAAAAGAAGGTTGAGGACCAACCTTCCCTAATCTGTCAGTCTAGGAGAAATGGGCGTCAGCTATGAAGTAATCCACTTATGTCACTGTCAATGGATTGAGAAGTCTGAGTTTTCTTCACCTTGATTTTACTGGGGACTTATCTACATTATATTATAGAGGAAGGTTTGTAAAAGTGATTTTGCTCTGATCATAGTCATTCCAGTATACCCAAGTTTGCAGGTGTTAATGAAATGTCTGATGAATATATTTGAACTCTGACAGCCTCTTGAGAGCCTTTTCACACCTATTGGTTTCATGTTATCCTGTAACAGTGTCTCTACCTCTTTCTCATTTGTATTAATCAATTATATGGGGGTATCTATAACTAAGAAACTGGAAAACACTGTATATTGAGGATTTCAACACGTTTTTACAGGCAAAATATATTTAAAATTTTAATAGAATATTCCTTCATGAATGACTTACACAATCTCTATATTATTAACATGGATGTGCATGAATAAATAAGTTAGATTATCTCCATCCTCTGTACAATCCTGAAATATGCCCCTCTGTGAACATCAAAAAGTTAATAAAATCTGTTATATTAAAAGCTACTAATCTTGAAGTTTATAACATTTAATTCTTCTACTTTCTACCTCTTGCTGGTCAGGATTTTTAGTAAGAAATCAATACCCGTGGAAAGGCAGAGGGAAGAAATGGCAAGGTGTGTTATATTATATACCTTTCTGGAGTACTGAACTTTATCATTCTAAGTATATGCGATTGCCACTGTGGGCTTTGAATTTACATAGAATGTTTCATCCTCCTGTCTGGGTTCCTCATTAAGCAGAAATGAAAGAGAATTGATTCATACAGGTGCTGCATTATAAGCAATAACCCCATGTTTGTGCTGACTTCTCCCAGAGCTCTGCATAAGTGGGGCCATGTGATCCGCACAGGGTGCAGTGCTCAGAATGAACATTCTCGTAGATACTTCTAAGGAATATCATCCACCAACTTGTTCTCTAAATCAGGGATTCTTTTAAACTGCAATTTTCATTTCATCACCAAATTTTAATATATTTTATATTAATAAAATCAGTTTTAATTAAAAGTTCTACTCTTGTACTGGTTTTTAAATATTCTATGGTAAGTTCCCACAGTATTTGAAATATGTGATCTTCCAAATTACCTATGTCTATGGAGCTAATATTTCCTGTACCATTTGGATATATGAACACAATTTTGTGGGCTTACTTATAATACTTTAAATATTTTAATTTTTGTTGTTATTGTTACTTTATTTTATGTACATGTATGTATGTGTGTTACAAGTATGCATAGTACCATCAGTGGACAGAAGAGGGCACCATATCCCCTGAAACCCAGTTCCTATGAAAGAGCAACAAACACTCATAATTGCTGAGCAGCCCCTCCTTCCCTCTAATGTAATTCTTACTAACATATTTTACCCAATATCTTATTTATTATAAAATGTTTTATTTACAAATTACACAGAAAATATCATATAAACTAAATCCTGATAGCACATTCATATTTATTTTGTCATTAATAAAATGTTGATCATATTGTAGATTATGCCAAGTAGTGATTCTTATACGTTTTAGCCATATGAATAGTGAACTCATCCAGCTCTGTGAATCCTCTTTGCAATGCTAGACTATAGCATGGAATTTCAGTTGAATACAATTCTTAGAGTACATCCAGCACTGAAATTAGGGACAACTCTCTCTTGCTGCAGATTGACGTCTTGGTGGGAGCAGCTATGGATGTGAGCAGTGAATGGGACTCTAGACTAGAGTCAGTTTCAAAAATCTTACTGCCAAGTCCCAGCCTGCAGATGCTGAATGCTTTCCAACAGACTTTAAAGATATTACTGTAGACAGAGCTGACTCCTCCCTCCACCTGAGGACTCATCTTGAATATTGAGAAATCAGCCTAATCAGCCTGTATCTTCTTTTACTCAGTTGTTCCACCCTTGAGTGATCTTCCAGCTTCTCACAGTAGTCATACTTGGCCTTCTGACTTGGAGCCTTCCCACATACAGTCGAGTTTTTTTTTTTTTTTTTATGGAAGTCAGAAAAAATTGAGTAAGTGATAAATCACTCCTTTGTTACACATTGAACATTTTCCCTGTAGGTTATCAATATACACATCTTAGGATTTTACATGATTGATTCTGCAACTACTAATTCCTCATTTTCAATGAAGGATGTTATACTAAGAGTCATGAGAGTCATGAATGAGTTAAGCTTGCCACCTTCTCCTAGTGTCTGTTTAAATTGTTATGTATTTACTGCTAAAATATGTAAATGAAAGAAAAACTCATACCACTCAACTTCTTAGTCAACCATTAAATTATTGTTCATGGAGTAAAGCTGGGAGATGTGAGTGCCAACTGGAACACAGAGAGGATGAATACTGCATATCCTTCCCTGCCAAACAAGTTCAATATGACTTTCTCAGCATATCAAATAGAGGCACATAGCAACTATTACAGGGTTTAACTTGATCATGCCCCTTATACATGCTAAAGACTGTAGACGGAACACCTAATCTTCCAAAGCTTTTCAGATCTTCCTATGGAAAAGATGCATTGGGATTCATTAACTATTATTCTATAATTATCTCCTAAATTCTAATCCCAAAGATTAGAAGAAAAGCCTATAGGCTTAGTGGAAGGGAACTTAAAGTTTGGTTTTTCCCTATGTAACCTAACACCTTCCAAATATAGATGACCTTTGTTTTAAAAGCCATTATTTTACAGTAAGAAGAAAAGAATAAATATGCATCATTATGAACCTCATATCACTAAAGAGAGTTCTTTAACATCTCTTATAATATTTTTATTACTTTGTCAGCTTGGTAAACCTACCATTTTGATAGTGGTGTTCTGTTGACATCTAAACTTTGAATCCTGATATTAACTGAACATGAAGAAACTGAACAAATCACGTTTCTAGGTCTGGACTTTTTAAAAGTTCCCTTGCTCTTAAAAGGTACTCAAAATTTCCTAGATCATTGAATGTAAACTATTCTATTAAGAGTTTAGGTATTTAAAAATTTTATTTTTTCTCTTATTTTCAAGACTGGCTATAAAATAATTCACTATAACAAATTAAAAGCTTCTTTAAGCCGTACTTTTCCTATAGCTTCAATATTCTATCAAAGCATATAATAATAAAAATGGCAGAGTCTCTTTAATATTCTGCTCATTTTTTTCTGCTCTGTCCTTATAATCTCTGATACGGTTTTGTTTGTTTATACTGTATGGTAATTGGCCATGAAGGCTACTAGGAAGAAACATTAGATACCAATGAGAAACTGATATCTAGTAGGATGACAGATGGTTGCAGTTGGATGTGGGGTACCTGAATCTCGTTGTCCTTTGCAATGTGGCTGAATAAATAAATCTCCATTTTCTGCTTTACACTCAGTTTGACTTTTATTGTCTTACTAAGGGAACCTGCCCCCAAATCAAATGTCAGACTTTCTTCAGAGAAAAAATCTATATTCTCATTTTTTTTAATCACCAAATTGAAGTAAGAAGCTTTTGCCAGCTGACATGGGGAGATGGGGAGACAAGAACGTGTCCCTGAAATAAAACTTCTCTTGAGGTCTCTGGGACTTTTCAGTCTTTCCTGACCATCTGAGGACAAGATTCTTACTGGATTAAGCGTGACACTTTGTGCCCTAACAAGAATGAGATTCCCTAGGAACTAATTGTTGAGAGAAGGAACAGCTGAAACTTTGAGGACTAATAGAGGATGATCTTGTACTCTGGATAAAGATTCACAACTTGTCAGAAGTTCTTGCGGAGGAAGTGGAGCTGAAACAGAGTGATATTTTCAAGTCACTTTCCAAAATTAAAAAAGAAAAGAAAACAAAGCAAAACCAAACAACAACAATAAATATAATTAAATGACTGAAAGAAAAAATGGCATTTAAAATGACAATAAAATCATCCAACCCAGATTCTGAGTTCTTGTCTTCAGTTCCACACCTTTTAAATCTCCATTTTGTCATTAGGCAGTGTGATTATAACTCAAAAGTATTTCTTGAACTAGGCAACATTCAAACAAAACCATGTAAATGTAAACCAAACAAAATTATTTTGATATAATGAGAGGAATATATTCTGGCAAAATACCTAGTAAGTCAAAAGCATCAAGAAACTATTTACATTTAAAAATAAACATAATTCATAAAACTATCAAGTTGATAAAAATATTCAAGGTATGGAGTGTTTCCCAATGATTTGTCATATGTTTTCGTTTTTCTTTTCTAGTTAAATTTTTAATTTCATGTTCCTAAAACAATAAATGACATACTTTCAAGGTTAATTTTCAGTGTGAGCTGTTCAGTACCTCTAAAATACAAAAGAAAGTCTATAGATAAGCAACTCCAGGAATGAATAATTATTGGAATAATTGTAGGAGAAGAACCTTGGTGACAAGTCCTAAAAGCAAAGGCTTGGCTGAGGCTCAGGCTTTTCTTATTCATTCACTATGTAGCAGAAACAAACAGAAGCGTACTAATCACTGTGAACATCAGCTTAGTAATCAGACATTTTTTCAGGACTATCTTTAAAAATAACATAGTTACATTTATTTTTTGCCATGCTTTTGGCTTTTCTTTATTTTATCTGCACTAATAAGTCTTTAAGTAAATATAAGAGGTACAATGACAGTTCTGTATGGAAAAAAGTTAGAATGGTAGAATGTTTCTGTAATATGCCTATGTAGATTTTCCTGTTGTTGCCAAATGCAAAACAAGTCTTTCCCATG